GAGCTGAGAAGCCGATCGTAAAGTTCTATTTGAGGCCTTCTCTCATAAGCGGATCAATCACATAACAGGAATCATGAAACTTAGGCTCGAATTATGGCACCGCCAACCGTGGCTGCGGTGAATTTAAGATGTGGGCAGTCTGCGACGAATAACGCCGAGCCTTGGAAGCAGCCGATAGCTTCTGGGATAGTTCTTTGGCAGATAATGTCCGTGTCGAACAAGATGAAAGGGGTAGTCAATTTGACGGACGTCTCTTAGCGGACAAGATGCGGATGTGGCTCGGCTTAGCGTTGAAATATGGTTGACACTATTGATTGCTTTGACTAAGCCATGCCAGACGTAGCTGTTGTCGCTGTGCACGAGCACGGGGACCTTCGACGATCAGTAATAAACTATACGAGTCTTTCCAGGTCGGCAGCTTAAACTCAACGGGCTAAGTATTTGTTGGCTTTCTTTTGAGGCATTCTGCTTCAATGAGTTTAGGCCGACGTCGATGATACAAGACTCACGGCAGTTTGGAGGTACATCTGAATGGTGAAGGTCGATGAAGTGTAATGGAGTATACAGATTTTTGTCTATGTTTATGTACAGGTTGTACAAAAGAAAAAAATGCCTATCGCAACAAATACTGCTTCTCACTCCAGTCAAATCCATCCTTCTAGTTGACATAGATGGTGCGGAACTTGCTGTCGACATGCCACCCAGCACTGGACAGAGACGGGTTGCCCTTGTTGTAGCACGTCCATGTGGAAGGGTTGTACACAATCTTGTTGCATCCAGACTTCAATTTGCAGAGCAAGATGCAGGCGGTGTCGGAGAGAACACCGTACCAAATATCCGTGGCAGGGTTGTTGGTGAAGTCACTGCTGGGGCAGACCGTGTACACAGTCTTGAGAACGGTGACGGTGTACGTCGGTGCCAGGCACTGGGTAAGGGGAGTGTTGTCGGCGACCTTGACGAGGGTCTGGAAGCCGGAGTTGACGTTCCAGTTGGAGGCGGCGACGCTGGGGCTGCCCTTGAGGTAGCAAATTTGGGTGGAGGGCCTGTAGACAGCCTTGGTGCAGCCAGAAGTCTTTTCGCATTGGGTTGCGCAGTCCTTGTTGGAGGTGTAGCCATAGTATATCTGAGGACTGGGGATCATGAAGTCGGTATCGGGGCAGACTGCGTACAGGCCGCCGTTGTTGCCGACTACATAGCTGGATGGGTTCGGGCAGCTGGAGATGGGGCCGGCACTGGAAGAGCCACCAGTCACTGCGGAGGTGGTGGGTTTGACGGATGTCGACAACGTGGAAGGCTTGCTGGTGGTGGAGGTTGTGAGGGCGATAGCTGGGATAGATGTGCTACTAGTGATGGCAGCAAGATTTGTCAGGCTGCTCGTGACGCCAACAACAGATGTCAAAGAGCCAGAGTTGCCCTGAGGGCAAATGAAAGTACCAGGGTCGGTGGTGAGAGAGTAAGAGTAAGCGTATTGAATGGTGTAAACATCGCTGCCGGAGGTGTACCCGGTGTTAACGGCATAGCCCTTGTCCCAGGTGCGAGAGTAGAGAGCGCAGATCTGAGCCTGTGTGACACCATTCTTGACAAGGAGGTAGCTGGTGAAGAAATGGCACCTCAGACCGTTGAACGGGTTGGTCTCTTGTGCCTGAGCGGCGCAATCAGTTGCGCAGAGGGAAGGGTCGTATGCGTTGTTGGTGTGAGCCTTGAATGTGATGTAGCTGTTACAGTCTGAAGGAGCGTTGATGGTAGCTTTGTCAGTGAAGGTTGCGTTGTAGCCCGAGACGGGGTAGTCAGGAGCGGTGAGCTGGTATCCATTGGAGCCGGCAACCATGATGTGGAAGTCGTTTCTCCAACCACCGCTGTTCGTGGCAGTAGATGGCCCAATGCCGACACCCCAGAAACTGCACTTGATCACAGTTGTGCTGCTGGGGTTGGGACAGCTAGCGGCGGGATCGACGGTCGGGTCGCGCTCGAAGAAGATGTTAAAAGCGGCACATCCATCAATCTTGGCACAGTCTGCTGCGCAGAGAGAAGGATCGTAAGTCGCGTAAGTGCTGTAGCCTTGGTATGCCGAGGCTGAGGTGGCAGACTGGAGATTCTGGAAAGTCCGGTACCAACCAGAAGGAGTGATGGCGGAGTTGGCGGCGTTGGAGAAGTCGGTATCAGCAAGGAAGGCCTGGTCCGTGTCAGGAGACGGGACCGGGCCGCTGCCCGCAGGGAGAGCGCCGCAGTCGCGGGCAATCAACTTCTTGCCAAGATCACGCTTGGATGCTGCGACGGTCTGGTTACCGACACCGATAGGAACGGACTCCAATGCGGGGGCGGGGATGCTTGCAAGCTCTGAAAGAGTGAGGAGCTGAGCAGCACCAGTTGCCGCGAAGGCGGCCAGGGAAGCGAAGGTGCGCATGCTGGAAAGTGATTGAAGCTGAGTTGGTAAAAATGAATGTTAGTAAGAAGTGAGTGGAGAGGCTGTATGAATGAATGGCTGTGAAGGCTGTGATTGAAACAGAAGAGATGAACGACTCGTATGAAGAGTTATATATCACAAAGTTACGACGATGGACTCTGTCAGGCCATGGCAGGATTGCAAGCTGCAAACCGTTCCTTTGAGCCACAAAGAAAAAGTACGTTATGGACTGACTTCTGCTCTAGCGGAGAGGAGCCAAGCACCGGAAGGCCGAACATGTCAAGTTAGAGTCGCTGGACTCGGGAGACAAACAAGGACTCGGCACACCATGCAGCTAGGCAGAATAGGTAGCCGACTTGGCAGTCGGAGACTCCAGGAAGAACAGAACCACGTGGGAGGCACCTGTCAGATAAAATTGTCACAAAGAGTCTTTGTGTGTATTAGATGGTTGAGCCGAGAGTATGTCATGGACAACAAAGACTCACTCTGAAGTGGCTGAACGTTAGCCTCCATGACATCGGTTGACACTTGAAGGCATTAGTCTTGATTCGGGCTGTGCTCCGTTCCGCCACAACTCGTGTTGACAGCCACTGCGTTGACTGGTATCGGCAGAGCTACAGCACAAAGAAGTCAAATGCGATACCGAGCATTAAGTCGGGTGCCAGTAGAACGTTGAGTGACGGCTAGTACCCAATCTGCCACGAGACTTGATGAGTATGCGAAGAGGAGAGGTCGGGCTTCGGGGTCGCCTGGCTGCCTGTAGCTAATTTTACATGGACCTAGTCCGATCCGTGGATTTAGAGTTTTGGTGCCGTGCTTGGAATTAGGTACAGAATTATTCACTGACGTTTGCATTTGTGACATCGAAGAGATTCATGAGATGAGTTGACTGATCAAATGAAGGTTGACTAAAAGTCCTGTCGAGTACCTATCCATCTGCAACCCTCACTCCCCACGTATCAATAGCTTTTACCCAATAACCCGGGTTCCAGCTAAGCCAATGCATACGGCATGTGCCCAGCCAGTCAGCGTCAGAACTCGATATATTCGTGTGCAGGCAGGCGATGTTGGATGATATCATCAGCGTTCAACATGTCTGTGCTAGACACGCGATGCTCCGCAGCCGCGCGGTCCGGAACAATGCCTGAAGCAACGTGGCGCTCTACCAGTCTTGCCCGAGACAGCTCGCGATCAATATTCAGAAACCACAACTCATCCATTAGACTCGCAGCAGAGCGCCAAGGTTCTCTGTCAAGACTCAAGTACAACCCCTCGAAGACTATGATGCGAGCCTCTTTTGGTACGCAAATGTCGTCTTCCACAGGATCCTTCACCGCATGGTCGAAGCTCGGAGCGAAGATGTTGGGTTTGGCGTCGGTCACTGGGTCTCGGAGGGCTTGCACCAGGCGATGAAACCGCCCCGAATCGAAGGTGAACGCAGCGCCCCGACGATGAATTGCTTCAGCTGGATTAGGCATTGCTGCTAGCTGTGATCTATACAGATGGAAACCATCCATGGGTATCATGGCAACAAAGTTTTCTTTAGGTTGTGCACTCTGGAGCTTTGCTGCTAAGGCTGTTGCCAAAGTCGTTTTGCCTGATCCCGGAACACCAGATATCGCAATCATAACACGGCCGCTGGGATCATGTAGTTCATGCAAGCCTATACTGTTTATTAGCCTTATTGCTCGACAAACCCTTCAGTTTACGTCGGTGAAACGTACGGAGAACCTTCGCAGCCAATCGGTTGAGCTGCGTAGTGTACACATCTGTCTCCACATCGGTTTGTCTCTTGAGCGTCATGTTAGATGGGTTGCTTCTGTAATTATGGAGGCAAAGTTTCAACGAAGGGTGGCAGACAGAGCGAGTTGAAGACGGCGCTTTTGTTTGTTCCTCAAATATGTACCTTCGTGCCGCTCACTGATATCTTCGAAATAACGCGGCTTTTGCGGCACTTGTTTGAGGTCGTTCCTGACTTGCACCATTCCACCACGATCGCCGCCGGACCGTGTCAAGTCCGACGGAAGGTCATCTGCAGCCAGAGAAAAAAGTGGGTTTATCATGTGTAATATGAAGCTTAATAGTTCAACGTCAGCGATCGCAATGCATCGGTCTTCTTTGATGATGGCTCTAGTAGAGCTTACCTATGTCTCCAGTTAGCCTATCCGTAATATTCTCAGTACAGCTAGACGTTTGATATAAGAAAACGCCTGGTCGAAAATGATGCGACCAGAATCCTCTTTCTCGGCGTTAGCTGGAGCGGTCGATGATCTGCTTGTTCGTCACGGGCCGTGTCCACGCCGCTTCCCGTGGATTCATGCAGGGATGCGCAAATGACCCGATACCACCACCAATCTTGTGAGCTCGTGGTCACCCTGCTGTTTCCGCGGATCTTACCAGAGGCACTTGCCCCGAAGAGCTGGTCATGGCGGGGTATCTCAATTGGAGGTTCGCGACGCGTGGAGACAGCAAGAAAAGGATTCACATGAATGATCCGGTCATACCACGCAGGTGGAAACAATCCAATTCGTGTTCTTTCTCATTTATTCAGTCAAGTTTTCCTCCACACTGCTAAATGACCCAAAATAATTTCACACTACGTCAACTTCGTCCCAGCACTTTGAAGCAACTCTGTAATCTCCAAGGTAGTATAGCGGAAGTCGTAGAACTCAACGGGCAATACACACTCAGATATTGGGCTTCGATGTTCCGCTACAGCAGTTCTAATGATTGTTTCGTAAAGTTGTGCCAAAGGCCAGCGCTTTCCACACGCATGGAGGATGAAGGCCAGGGTATGGAGGTTTGCGGGGACATCCGCATCAAGTGCCTTGGAGTATACTTGATTCAATTACCGCCGAGTTAGTCTTTGGGAGCATTGGCTGTAGAAATCGCGAGAGGCTTACCTATATAGAAGCGCGCCGATACAAACAGTGGTGATATCAGATAAGGCGATTCGCGTCCAAGCTGGTCTGCTCCTATGCGGCGCACCTTGGCCGTCAAATTTTCACAGGCGTAGGTGCATCTAGTTGTGGCGAATGCCCACTGTAACAAATGATTGTCAGCTGTAAGGAGCGAAAGAAAACGATGAGGTGTTCGCACATGTTCAAAGGTCGTCTCTATTCCTTTCGGCATGGGCGCCATCTGCTGAAGCAAAACGATGATTGCCCTGATAGCTTAGGTTAGGCACCTCATGGCAAGTTTTGGGAGGGGGAATGATCAACGTACTCATTGAGTATACAATTGGTAAGCGTAAAAAAAGACTCCATTTCGCCTCGGGGCAAATGTCCTTTCTCATAATTGATGAGCTGAAATACTGCAGCAACGAATTCTTCGCGCCAATTTGTAAGTCTCTCGTCTAATCTTTGTGCTTCGGACTGCCAGTCAAGTCTCTGATCCAGCTTGTCCAACTCATAGGATCTCCCCAGAAACTCGCGGACAACCTTGAGCTCCTCCACTGAAAGCATGATGCAGAGGGTAAATCCCGATGCATACCGCGGTTCTGAATCAGAACGCTCTATCACTGTCGGTGTAGTCGACCATTGAGACTCAAGGCAGGGCAGGCTAGCACCCAGGGGCGATGGCGAGTACGGCATGGAATAAGGGAGTCCTAGGGTCGAGATTGCATCCAACATCTCAACCATCCAGAAAGCTCGGCTTGCTTCCTCTTTGACTACATTACTACTCGCGGCGTAACGCTGTGCCATCTGTGCTCTGGATGTATAGGTGTACAAGGGGCTTACTCCGTGGCGTTGGAGATTGGGATGAGCAAGTATTCTGTCTTCAGATAAGCATTCCTCCGTCTCTCGATTCTGTGGGTGTGTACCTCTTGCAGACCGCCAATAAATTCCAGAATTCTGCGAGTTTCCCGCTGGTGTACAAATGATTAGACAGAACCAAAAGAGCCTGGACAGACTGCAGCGACGAGGTTGCAAAGCCTTGGAGCAGGACTTGATCGCGAAGCTCCGCGGCTCTTGCATGATGCCATGGCAAACTCTCGGCCTGATCAAATATTATTACAGCAGTAACAGCTTTGCAGATTAGTTCCTGGTCGGAGCTCTCAAAGGTGGACAATCCTTGGAAGGAACCGTGGTGCAAGATAGGAAACCAAGGGTGATAGCTTTGAAACCATATTCTGAATGTTTCATGTGCTGTAGGGAGGCTGAGTGTAGCTGACGGTATCGGAGAGTCATTGCTGAAGGTATTGAGGTGAGGTTGGGGAGCAGCTTCCAGCACGTCCTGCGTGACATCACCACCAACTTCGGCCAGATCTGGATCGGACGGATCAGATTCCAATTGGCCGTTGTCAGCTGAAGGCAAGGAGACAGGAGTGCGTTCGATATTGAACGGCATGTTATGGCCACCCTGCACCAAATAATCTTCAACTCGTTCTAGTCTCGCCTGCATGGCTTCTGCGGCGGAAATGATTACTATTCTGGCCAAAGGACCCAGTCATGCGAAAAGCGTTCAGACTCACCAAGCTGCTGCTCCAGTCGTGATACGTAGCCTGCTCGGAGCCCGGGCCGTTGCTGTCTCGACTTGTACACGCACTCAAAATCATGCTTTGAGCAAAGTCCACATTGTGGGCGTTGTCGATCGCAAGCGACCTTACGTTGGCGGCATACCAGGCATCTACGATGGGCCGAAATAACCGAGTCAGCAACATGACCAATTTTGAAGTTCAGGATTTCAGCGCAGCATACGCAAGTCTAGGTTCTCTCTGTGACGCCGAAGACATTTCGTGATGGCGGAACCGCGATGGCGGGAACCGTGTACCTGCAGTCCTGGGCCGTGTGCGGGCCGACGGAGGTTATATACCGAGGGTTCTACGACGAGATCGGCTGCTAATTCATGTAATGGCGCCCCATTTAATTGTCAGTCACGCGACATAAATGGAGCATCGTAACATGGAACACTCCCGTCGGCCCCCGCCCCGGCTCCCGCCGCGCAAAGGGCCGTGTAACTCCGGTGCCACGCTGACTTCCGGCCATTTTCCGGTAATAAACACTAGCCGTACCACACGCGCACCGCAGGGAAGAATTGCAGTCGAGGAGCCCGCACGATGCGGGCCGTGTCAACACCGCTGGGTACTATGATCGACCAATCAAACCAGGAACTGGATCCCCACGTTCACCCCAGAATCGCGAGATCTGGGGTATTTCTCGATGCCGCGCATCGGTATATTTGTGTAAGTTTCCCTCTCAATGATTTCATGTTGAGACCTTACATGTTTGCCATCCTCGAAAAATACGCCACGGCATTTTCTTGCCGCCAATGCACCCAGCAAAGACACGTTCTCGACTGTCACTGACAACATGGCGAACCGATACTTCGGGTGCCGGGGGACTTCTCTCCTCGTCTGGCTGACCGTGTGCTATGTGCGTAGAATCTCCTTCCTGCCCGGTATACCTTGCTAACGCCAACCCTAGGTCTCCTCCATGGCGCTGTTCGGCTACGATCAGGCAGTGTTCAGTAAGTTCCAGCCGCATGTCAACCTCTCAGCATCGTCCGTCATGGAATCTTGACTTCTAACGCGTACTCTTCCTTTTTATTGTAGGTGGAATTATTGTGTCGAAAGACTTTCTGAAGACGATGAACAACCCCGATGCCAATCTGCAAGGAACAATCACATCCTTGTACAACGTCGGATGTTTCTTCGGCGCCCTGTCAGGCTCATGGATCGGCTCTTCACTCGGTCGTAAGCGATCAGTCATTCTGGGCACGACGGTCTTGGTCATCGGGGCCATCCTGCAAATGACAGCCTTCAGCGTACCCCACATGATCGTCGGACGCCTCGTAGCCGGCCTCGGAAACGGCCTCAACACCGCAACAGCTCCCGTCTGGCAGAGCGAGACTACCCAGGCCAAATGGCGAGGCAGGCTTGTGGTGCTAGGTCTGGTGGTCAACGTTGCCGGCTTCTCTCTGGCTAATTGGGTCACCTTTGGCTTTTCCTACCTGGAGGGCAGCATCTCTTGGCGCCTCCCTCTCGCCCTCAAGCTGATCTTCTGCCTCGTTATCCTCTGTACTGCGCCTTGGCTGCCCGAGTCTCCCCGATGGCTCATCTCGAAGAATCGCATCCAAGAAGCCGACGTCATCCTCGCCGATCTGAAGGGGGAAACCAACGTGTCGAATCCCGCTGTGCTGGCCGAGCGGAACGAGATCGTTCGCGCGTACAAGCAGGAAACAGAAAACGCCATGACCTGGTCTCAGCTGTTCCGAGGCGCATCGGAGAAGGGTGGATCTGGAGCGTTGCGCCGTTTTCTACTTGGGCTGGGCACCCAGCTCATCGTCCAGCTGTCCGGTATCAACGCCACGTCTTACTATCTCCCGACGGTCTTGATCGAGTCCGTTGGGCTGGAAGAGAAGCTTGCTCGTCTCCTGACCGCCGCCAATTCTGTTCACTACATATTCTTCTCATACTTGGGGATGATGTTGATTGACAAGTGGGGTCGTCGTGGAGCTATGATCTATGGTCAGTGGTGAATCAATAGTACACGCGATTAAGACGATTGGAATTGCTAATTCTGGGTGTGATATAGGAACTTCGGGCTGTTTGGTATGCTACATCATCCTTACAGTTCTCATCAGGACTGGTCAATACGCGACGGACGAGGGCCTGAAGTATCGCGTAGGCGCTGCCTCGGTCTCGATGATCTTTCTGTTCTACGCCATATTCGGTGCCGGGTGGCAAGGTACTGCATGGCTCTACAACACCGAAATCAACTCACTCGCCATGCGAATGAAGGGCGCCTCGGCCAGTGTGGCTGCACAATGGGCGATCAACTACATGGTCGTTCAGATTACCCCTATTGGCATCCAAAATCTGGGCTGGAGATTCTATCTCATTTGGGTGTTCATGCAGTTCTTCTCTGTTCCCATTCTGTATGTGTTCTACCCGGAAACTGCGAATAGGAGGCTCGAAGATATCGACATCGTGTTTGAAGAGGGCCTGAGGACGTGGGTGTTTTTGGACAAAGAGGCGACGCAAGTTGCGCGACCACACCGCTTCGTCGTTATGGAGGAGGAGGAAGTTGCCGATGCTGCCAATGACATCAAGGCCAAAGTCAATAGCCCTGAGTTCGAGCAGGTTGATCACCCGACTCAATCCAAATAGGGTGACAACTGTAGCAAACGCATTATTGACGTCGGCGTTTCCTTGGCAATGATTATGCCTGCCGGCGAAGAGTTAGCTAGGAATATATGCGTTTGAGATTTTGCTGCAAGAGATTGTGGTTTCAAGTAACACCGTATCCTTCATCTCAGCGAGACTTCTCAATCATCAATGACAGCACAGGACCGTGCAGAGTACGACTGGTGAGAAGTTGATGGTCACTTTCTTGACAAATGACACACTTAAACAAGCTGAATGTGAAGAGGTTCTGGGAAAGCTATAGGCCTCTACCTACTGGCGTCAGACAACCCGACAACTCGTGCGTTCGGCCCATGTGGGGTACTGCCGGCACGGAGCCGAGCGCCGACCGGAACTCAGGCCGGCTACCGGCCCGTGGGACTAAGCCTCCCACGACCTCCCTCGTATCCCTGCCCCCCAGACCCAAGCGTTGGACTAACCGGCGACTGGGTGGCATCACTTCCCATCTCAACGGACCCGCCATACCTCGGACTACTAGGCATCTCGCTCACACTGTTTGGCACTTCGAGCTCCGCAGCTTGTACGCCCGGCGACGCGGTCGGCGACGCTGTGAACCCGGGCTTCGGCTCAGGGGAAGAGTAAGGCGTATAACCCGGCAACTCTGAGAAAGCGGCGCTCTGTCTTGAGTTCTCGGCAGCTGCTAGCTCTGTTGCCGCCTTTCTCTTCTTCCTACGACGCAGGATGACGGCGAAGATGCCTGCGCCGACGACGGCAATGGCTCCAAGGACGCCGCCGACTACCCCACCAACGATGGCGCCTTTAGATGGCCCGCTCGGAGAAGAAGTTGGCTCGGGAGTGGTGCTGTTCGTGGCAGCGGTGGGCTGTACGACGAGTGTGTACGTCGGTGTATACGCCGGTCTCTTGAGTGACGGGTCAAAGATATACTGCAGATAGACATCACTCCACGCACGAGGTTTCGTGACATATGCTCCTCCCGATGCCGTCCCCCCGATGGCCTTGACAACCTGCTCGGGCACCGGTGCCAACCTCTTCGCGGCCTCGGTGTCGTAGCTCCCCGTGTAATTGAGCGAGACTAGGGAGAAGATCTCAGCAGGCATGTGCTCCGAGCATGTCTGGACGTTCCCGCCGCTGCCGTCGCTCTTGGTTTGCATCCCGCCCACGAGCAAAAGGTTCTCGCCGACGACGTGGCACGTGTGGCCGTACATGCCGTCGGCACGGGTGTGCACACGGATCCAATTGAAGGTCGGCAGGGTGAGGACCCATATCTCCTCGGAGGTGATGTAGGTCGCGTAGTTCTCGACGCCGGCGATCATGTAGATGTTCCACGATGACGAGTCCTTGGCGGGGACGAGGACGGCGCAGATGTCGGAGCGGCCGGTGGGCATGTCCGGGAGGCCGAAGGTCTCTTGTCGGAACCAGAAGCCTGTTTCGATGTCGTAGATGTCGACGAAGGATTGGTTGATCTGGGGTCTGTCAGGGGATGAATGGAGATGTTGAAGGGGGAGGGGCTTACGTTGATGTTGCCTGATGCTGCATCATCTATGCGGACGCCGAATTCCGTTTCGTCTCGGGTTGTTTGCCCGCCAATGTTGACGATGATACCCTTCTCTCCAACCGGGACGTGGACCATCGCACCGTTCATGCGTGGTCCAACATACGTCGGAACGGAGATGTTGGTCAGCTTAGGCTGAGACTTGTCTGCGGTATCGAGCTCTAGCATTCCTTCGAGAACTATGATGATCAGCGACCATTTTATGCTGTCAAATGTATCGAACTTACAGCGAAAGTCCATGGAGGGTGTATACTGGCTGTTCGCAGGGCTGCTCCTGCGCTGCGTGTACCCCTCAAAGATATAACTCCGATTCAACGTCGGCGCGTCGCAGAATGCTGCAGCACCTGGCCGATCGACAATCTGGTCGTTGTTGGATACCTCAAAGTCCGTCGACTTGGCCCATCGCTCCGTATCAACGTCGAACTCCCAAATAGCCGGCTCAGGGAAGTCGTCGATATATGCTGGGTTCTCATTGTTGTTGGACGACCACCAGCCCCCTAGCTGGTACACCTTCCTAGTCGTCTGTGAGTACCACATCGCATGCTCGATGAGACCGTTCGGGACGTCCGGCGCTTTCCAGATGGAGCTGTATGGTGCGGTTTCCTGGTTCGTGAAGTTCTTGGACAAGTCTAGGACAAGGAGCTGCGTATCTATGCCGTGTAAGTCATAGTGACGGCGGGCTCATGGGAGACTTACGCATCCCAGACGTGAAGGCGCCAGCTTGGGTGTTGTAGAAGGTGTTGTTGCCCTTCGGCACATACGTATTTCCTCCATCGATGTAGATCTTCCCGTCGGCATAAACACCTAACAAGTTTTAGACTCAGAGGCATGAAGCGTCATCGAACCACTTACTAGCATGGCGAAATATCCTGCAAAAGTGCTGTGACAGATCAAAAGTAGTGCTGTTGATGCTAGCTGCAGGGACGGCTGTAGGTGCAGCAAACACAGACGTGCTACTCGCACCACCAGAGACAACCGCAGAGCTCACAGCCTGCCTCGCATCTAGCGACGCAAAGACCGATCCAGAAATGGCCGCAAAAAGCGGCCAAAGTGAGACAAATCTCATAACGGCGGT